CCCCTCCCGGAAGTATGCAGGATGCTGGAGGTTAATAGTTCGTTGCTTCCACTTTTTCGTGGTTGTCTGCTGGTTTCGTCGGTTTTCGTCACCAAGGCCCGGCAATAACAGTTTTTTTCCGCCGAAAATGCGTCGTTTTCCGGCGCACAATAACATACGTATTAACATAATTTTACTTTCTTGTATACATAAGTGTATGTATGGAGTAATATACGTAGTATAGGGAAAATTATGTAAGGCTGCGGAAAATTGATTTCGAGATTTAAACGGAAATACACATTTTGGGATCCCCTGATACAAATGATTGTTTTTTCAAAACGTCCGTCCGACTGTCTGTGGACACCGCTAGCTCCTAAACCACACGTAGGGTTTTTTTTCCTAAAACCAGGAAACCTCTGTCCATCTGGCTCGAGTCGAAGCTTTAAGATTATGAAAACATTCTCATAAACGAATTAAAATGTTTTTCTTAAATTTCTTGTAAAACAAGAGTAAAATACATTTATAAAGGTGGCATAGGTCCAATTTTCGCGGTTAACTCTGAATTTTAGATAATTGCAAAAGTTAAATATTTTTTTTGCAACTTCCTCCAACTACAAAATTGAAGATAGAGATTTTTCCTATCAATAAAGTTTGATCTTCATATTTAGTTCTACCAATAATGAGATGAACATTTTTTGACATTTTCAGTATTTTTCGAAAAGTAGTGCGTGCAATATTTGCAATATTAAAAAATTGCAAAAACAAGATATTTTCAAAAGCCGTTACAAATTTTTTCTTCAAACATTTGGTAGGAATAGTACTAAAAGTACTCAATAAGATAACATATACACCGTATTGCCCTATTTTCTCTCTAGTTTTTGCATATTTTGCAATTGAAATTTACAAAAAAATCTCAAAAACTGCTCCAAATGTTTTCTTTAAATTTTCTTTACTCGTGTAACAAAGCACGATAAAAAATAGGGTGCAAGTTTCATTTTCGGGTATTGCTCGGTTTTTGAAAATAAAAGAAAATTAAAACTACAGAATTGAAGATGTTTGCCTCAGACAAAGTTTGTTGTACAAAATTAGTTCTTTAAAAAAGGTCAGGTACACTTTTTTGCAAAAACAAGTAGTTTGGCGTAATTTGCGATTGAAATTCACAAAAAAAATCTCAAAAACCGCTATAATTTTTTCTTTAACTTTTTTTCACATATGCAATACGGAACTGTAAAAAATATGGCGCTAGTCTCATTTTCGGGTATTGCTCTTTTTTTTCGAAAATTGCCAAAAACATTTCAAAACTACGAAATAGAAGATAAGGGATTTTTGCTTTAGACAAAGTGTGTTGTACAAAATTAGCTCTTTAAAAAGGTCATGTACACTTTTTTGAAGAGCTCTTGTTGCGTAATTTCTGCTTGAAATTAATGAAACATATACCGGTTTTCAATTTTAATTATAATTTCCAATTGAAAACGTCAATACTAATTCTATTTTTCCTTTCTTGCTTTGTACTTTCCCGTATACGTACGTATATACGTAGTATAGGAAAAGTTACGTAATGCTGTGGAAAATCATCGGAAGTACAAGTTTTGGGGTCCCCTAATATCGAAAAAGTGGTTCTTTTCAAAACGTCCGTCCCTGAACACTACTAGCGCCTAAACCATGCGTAAGACTTTTTTTTATTGAAGAAACCCCTGCCCATCTGGCTCGAGTCGAGGCTTTGAGATTTTGAAAAACCTTCTTTAAAATTTCGGGGTACTTTACATGAAGCCCTCCGGACATTTTCCCAATTTTCCTTAAAACTGCACCAAATTTTTGCTTTAAATTTCTTGTAAATGTAGAGTAACATGCACTTAAAATAGTGGTATAGGTCCGATTTTCTCGGATAACTCTAGTTTTGTCCTACAAATGAAATTTGTTGTCATAATTAGTTATTTTATTAAAATCATGTAATTTTTTTTAATTTTAGTATTGTTTGCTCAATATTGCTTGCAATATTTATTTTAAAAAATCAACAAAACAAGATTTTTCTCAAAAACGATTTCAGATTTTTTTCTTTAAACTTTTGGTAGAGATAATTCTTAATTCACTCTATAAGGTGAAGGTAAACGATATATTACTCTATTCTTTGTTTTTTCAAAAATTACAAAAAAATAATTTTTTGACTTGTCTCACGTCGTTAATATGTACATTAGCGGCAATTTCTTTACATTCATGTATTTATGAGTATATACGCTTTAAATAGTTTTAGATAACGTTTCCCGAAAACTCAACGGTTTTCCGTGAAAAAAGAGCTCAAAATTTCGCATTTTCAGAAACGCTCAAACGCCATTGTTTCAAAAACGGCTCCAATTTTTTTCTTCAAAAGTTTAGAACACGGAGTGCTAACTGCACTGTTTAAGATGACATGGAATTAATCTTGTAGTATTGATTTGTTTTTTCAAAAGTTACACACGTATTTTTTTTAGATCTCTTACTCCTTTAATATGCACATTTTCAGCGATTTGTAAACTCTACTGCATTTGTGACTAAAAGTGCTTAAAATAACGTCATATGTAGTTTTTCGAAAACTCAATAGTTTTCTGTGAAACGAGGTTCAAATTTCGAATTTACAGTAGCGCTTAAATGCCAAATTAAAAATGGCTTCAAATTTTTGAAAGAAAATTGCTATCTTAGGAAGAGGTTTTACTGTTCTTTAATATTTTTAAGATAATGTTTCCGTTCTACTATTACGAAATCGAAAAAAATACAAAATTTTAAAGAAATTATATAATAGCTAGCCGAAACCAATGGAAATACAAAACTAATACGGGAAGTCTGGACGCTCTCCGGACGAGAAACCATGGACGTTCTCTTTGTTGAAAAGCAAGAGCATTTATTGAATATGAAGTGTGGTCGATGACGAAATGAAACACAATAGGAACTATTATCTTACGACGTAAGGCATCGCACGAATGTTTATAATTATTTTGATGTCAATTGCATATATTCTAATTACTGTATTGATATTTTCCAAGCGAATGCGCATAAAGCTGCGCTGGCAATAGTGCGTTGCTCACTTGGTTGAATTGGACGTTTTGAAATAATGGTTGAGGTGTTAGTAGCTCAGAAAATGCAATATTTCAATATTACGAAGCTATTTCCAATCACCGAGAAAGTATGTGCTGTCGTAGCTCCACTAATTTTTTTAAATTTCTCACGCCGTTAATGTGCACATTTCCAGCAATTTGTAAACACTATTGCATTTGTGAGTTAAAGTGCGGAACAGTTATGCTTCTTGTATTGAAATTGCAGAAAACAGTTTTATAAATTCCATCTTATATGCAGACGACAAAGTTCTGATTGCTGAAACAGAAGATGAACTTCAGCTCAATATCTACAAGCTCAGCAAAATACCTATATATTATAACTGAAATAACATCCTAAACCCAAATTATGGCATTATACGGAAGGAACCAGAAAGATCGAAGATATGGTAGAAAAGCAGGTTATGGAAGCAATTTTAATTATAGGAAACTATGTATCATACAACTATGACAGAGACATAGAAAAGAAACTCGCGATTCCAGCTAATGTGTGGAACCATAAGAACAACCCTATAATTCTATAAGACAATGGCAATACCAACCCTACTAAATGGTAGCGAATGCTGGGTTTTGAAACACAGAAATGAGCAGAATACATACATCAGAGAAGAAATCGATGAATAGTCATCTGGTGGTTCAGAGCGAAGTCGCTCGCCTTTCACCAACGAGCCTCGAGTTCGATTCCCGGACAATCTCATGTGTTATTCCAACAAAACCAGTTAGGCTGCTTCACAAGGGATAGGGTCCTGTGAAGTATCCTAAACCCTATCCCAATCCTAATTCCTTCCCAATTCTGGCTGCTGGGTAGTGTCGCAGGAGCGCGTAGTAGGAGGCGCATACGCGAAGATGCTAGCTGTCGGTCCTACTGACTACGACGGGACGTGACGATATAGATCGATCTTTATAAGAATGTACCGCTTTGACATCTAGTGCTGGCAACATAACTGAAGGTTTTGTGGTCAGTGTGCCCTTCAGCTCATTTGATTCTCCTTCCTTCATTCGTTCGTTTGCAGTTGACTGATTTGTAAATGGCTTCGACGCTTCTTTTCCTGGTGCATTTTCCGACGAAAATATTGTGGCATTTTGTACATTGCTACATTTTGTGACAACAAAACAACATTGTAAAATGAGAATCATGAGGTGGCGACTAGCCTGAAACCTTCTTGCCTTGGGTGCATTTAGAGAGCGAGAAACTTGTGGACGACATGCAAGGGTAGCCAAGCGATAAGCTCCAACCGTCTCAGACTCCGGGGAGTTCAATTGGCTCTGGGTGGTTTTCGATGACATTTGCTTTAATCTGTTTTGCAGTGATGGCCTTTTCCGCATTTCCTGAGAAGAGTAAATCTTCCATACAATTGCCCATAGCCTTTTGGGGGTGAATGGCTGGCACGATAGTGTAGGGGGCGAAACATGTGAACGAATTGCTTGTGCTCAAAACAACCCGCCCAATCGCGGAGAAGTAGCAAGAGACGTCTTAGTAGGGAACGGGTTTTCATGAAATGACATGTTTTTACAGGAACAAGGTACAATAACACATACAATACTATAATATTTTCTTTAGTTTTCAAGAACTAAAAACAATAACTGATTCCTTTTTATTTTGCATATTTTATATATTACTGCATATTTCGTTATATTTTAATATATTAATACGTTAAAACGGAAAGTTTCAGATGCGCGTTTGGATTATATGTAATTTTCTTACAAAGCAATGTAATGCTATTGTACTTCTATGACCATATCTTCACCATGAATTCACCGAAATTAACCCCAATTCCTGCGTCTTAGAAACTGTATGCTCGGGAGTCCAGACTGAGCGGATGCTTGAAAAGCAGAAATATTTTCAACTTCGTGTTTGCTCACGTTTCAATAATCACATTGGTAACTCGATGGAACATTAATACACATTTTTACGGATCATCGCCGTATTGCGTTGTTGGATTCACTTGAGCACCGGCTCCTCGTGAACATTGTATATAGGTACTACGAACGTTTTTCATCTTTTTAATAAAACTCAGGTATAGCTAAGACTAGTGTACAAATACTTCTTTAGAGGTAGAACTTTCTTTCTGCTGCTGCACATGTTAAGGTTAGGTCGGCAACGCTCTGTGCCCGGAAAATGCTTAGGGAAAGTCCATAATTACGAAAAGCTAATTTTGAGTACTACCTCATCCCACTGCAACGCGCGCTCTAACTCTCCAAAAGATAATACTCGCTGCGGCAACACCCTCCATATGCAAGAAGTAAAACGAAATTATACTTCAGTAAAAACAATTCGAATTATATATTAAAATTTGTGATAATTAAAGTAAGAATTATGGGTGATCTGGGCTGTCCGGGTGACGCCGCGTCGAAGGCTGAGTTGCCGACGTTTCGACCATCCTGTCGTGGTCTTCCTCAGGGCTGGTATGACCACGACCGAAGACCACGACAGGATGGTCGAAACGTCGGCAACTCAGCCTTCGACGCGGCGTCACCCGGACAGCCAGATCACCCACATGACTCTGGTCGCGGAAGCCTACGACTTCATTTAAAGTAAGAATTAGTTGTATACACCAAACTATTATATTGGGGACAATTTTTGGGTAACGAAAGAATGCATAGAAGTGAAAATAACAAAGTTCACTAGCACAGCCGTTCACTCGCACTTTTCAACGTCGCTTGGGGAGAGACCATTACGCAATTTAATTGGATTCTCGAATATGGAAAAGTTTTGAATATTTTTTTCGGAATCTTACGGATTGAATAAAAAATTAATAAAAAGTATTTCCATTTATTGTAATAATTGTCAATCACTTTATTTTATTTACCTTTTTTTAAATGTTTTAGTTTAAAACTGAAAAAAAAAAAGATGAAAGAAATGATTTCCACAAATGTTAAAAAAACTGTTCCGTAACTTTAGCTGACACCCCCTACGTAATGCTGCTTCAACCCTCTCCTCCCGTTTGGTGATTCATAATTTATGAACAACCCCTTATTTTAATTTTAAACACTATAATAAAATTGTATTTTACCCATTTTCTGATATTTACATATTTTCCTTTTTTATTACTATAAATTCCATTCTTTACTTACTCCAGCCTCTGTATTACCCCCCTACCTTCATAAAAGATACAATTGTAGATAACAATCTCATTACAAAAATAATTGGTAATTAGTTTAGAATCAATAATTAACTCTAAAGAATTAATTAATAAAATATACTACTAAATAATTTCATTCACTTAACACCCAGATAAATATTTTCCTTTGCCAGTCCCCAAGAATTAAAAAAAAAAAAAATATTAAAGACATGTAGATTGTACTACACTCATAATTTGATTATATCTCTTAACCTTTTGTTTGGAAACTGAAATTATCAAATAATTTTGACCTTGTAAGAACAGAGAATGTTACATGAAATATATACGACTCGTGTACCTAAAACATGACAATGAGCACTCAAGAGTGGCAAATGAACTGAAGCATGGTAAATAGTGTATGATACAACATAAAGCACTTAAGACAACTTGTCAGTACCTTGCTGAATGCTCATCTAAACACTAAAAAGTTTTGAAAGTAGACATAAAAAAATAAAAACAAAAATTAAATAAAAATACCAGCGTATTTGGATCAATATAAAAATAATTCAAAGTGGTGTATAATCAAAGGTTTCCATATTTCATTGAAAACAACTCAATATTCTTTCAGTAAGCAGAAGCATTTTTGAGATGTTCATAATTTTTACAGACTTCAAATTCCCACTACAATTATAAGCACCCAAATCTTTGGTATTTCTCATCCCTTCTCCCAATTTCATTCACTGAAGCAATAATAAACCAATTATTAGTTAATATCTTTCATTTTAAACCAATCTATAAATTTCAAAATCTCATACATGAAATAATCCAGTATTATGAATCAATTACCTTTATGTTTTTTGTCGTATTTTTTACATGGATTTCTAGAGAAATGTCTTGCTAAAATTCTTAAAAAAGTTGCCATCTTGTAAATATTAATACTTTGTTTCCATGGATTTCTTCAATAGGAGGGCAACAAATGAATAAGGGACAAAAGGATCATTTGTGAGCAAATGAATCACATTATAAGTTATTAGCAGTGTTTATTGATAACCAAGCCACTATTTACAAATTATGGTACCATGTATATTTGGAATCTTGAAAAACTTCAACTACATTTCATATTCGCTATGTTCAATGATGTGCCACTTCTTCATAGCCATCGGGCAAGGCATTGACATGGGGATTATGAAACAACGACCTCTTACCATCCCCCCAAGGGAATCGCTGGAAATAAAGAAACAACAGTAATACAAGCAATAATTTGGGACCAACAGAAATAAAGAAATTAAAAATTGTAACCTTGGTTCTAATTCGAAGATGTTCATATGGCACAAATTCTGGTTGCTCATGTGACTCTTCTTGATGTTTTAAGTAAGCATTTAACATGCAAATTCCAACACCAGGAAGGGCAACGAAAAATGATAAACTCTTCCACAATTTAACTCCTCCTGCAACACCAATTTTACACTATTGAAGTTACTCTGCTACGCTGCTAATTTCAATACTAATATTGAAAATACAAACCTCCATGTCCTCCTGCTGTGGCTGCTGTTCCTGAGTAAGTGGACGATTGCCTTCTAGCTACATTAAAAGCCCTTCGCAACACCAAACTTCCGAAGTTCGCCATTTTCTCCGAGATCCACTTTTATCTTCGACAACGTTCGCCTTTGCCTGGAGAGGGAGACAGGGGAGAACTTTCCGAATAGAGAAGACCAAAGAGATTATAGAGGAAGAAACTGAGCATCAGGCAAAGAGTATCTAGTTATTGAAATACTCGGATCAACGCCGCCTAGTCTCTGCGCCTAGTAGGCGGTGCCTGGCGCCTACAGAATTGGCGATGTTGCTCGGTTCATGAAGGGTCATGGACTAAACAGTACTGAATGTACGATGTTAAATGTATTACTGCAATCTATTGGAAATCAAAAATACTATTTTTTTAATACTCAGGCATTTTTAAGCTTAATTGGAAAAATTTTCAAAACGTTGGCATGACTTGCAGGTAATTGGTTCTTTTTCATGCGGAACATTTTCTTACGGAATTGCTGGACATTTTTTTCATTTGCAATTGCTTGGACTTGTCAAAAGTCAGAAAATGTAGTCATTGTAATCGAAACAGCAAAACATAGTTATACGTGTGGACTGACCCGATGTATTGGTTTGTGCTTTCTGAAAAGTGTGAATCAGCTGATGCGCACATGCTGTCAAGTGACACACGGTGACATTTCAGTACTGTCAACTTTGTAGTCTTAAATTCATGTAATATGCTTTTGAAGTTGCAATGATTTAATTGTTGTATATTACCTGGGCAGTTTCATTTTTATCTTTATAGTTGAATTACTTTTTAAGGAATTGAAGTGTTTTCGGGGTCGGGGAATTGCACTTTTGAAATCGACTGTCAAGTTATCTGCGAGGATTGTAGTTTGTGCCGTTGAGCATGATGTCAGGTTACAAGGTGTAATTCGATGAATTGTACTTGGAACTATATAAGTTTTGTTCACAGTGAAATACATTTCATGACCTGTTGTAAATTGACGATTGAACCTTTGCAAGACAAAACTGAATATGCTGTCGATATGTAGCGACAGTGACATTCAATTCGAGTTTTTAAAATAGTTTGTGGTGTTCGTACTTTTTGTTACGATGAAAATAAGGTTAAGTTTCATTGGTTTGAACTGTCATAGTTTTTTATTTTTATTTTTGATTGACGCACCTAATTGCAATGCTTTCAGAAACATTAAAGCATTAATATTGTGTGTGTTTTCAGGTAACTTGAACGTACTATGTCTCACGGTCGTGAATCCGCCAACTTTTCGTACATGGACGGAGTACCAGTGAAAATCGGGGAGAAATATAAACCTCCTAGAAAAGTGACATTACCTCTTGGGTTCCAGCATCGTTTATCTTATGAAACGGCATCAGAGGAGGTTAGTTTTTCAATGCAACAATAACATTCTGATAGAAAATGAATGAGTTAAAAATGTGTTTAAAAGTAATAAATTATGCTCTTTGTGAAATTTTTTAGTATGACTTCAGACTTGAAAGGAGTGTGCTGGAAAAAATGGGTGAATGGCGCTCTCTTCGAAAAGCTGAAGCAGACAATCGGAAAGAAAGAATAAAAGCCCATGAAGATGCATGGCAAAAAAAATTGTGTGAAAATGTACAGAAGTTTTCTATTAGATCTACCACTGGAAAATTTGAAAATGTTCCTCCTGAGAATTCTGGTGCATCCAGTATATCCCATTCAGATCCCAGAGTGAGTTCTACTATACCATCTTGCCTTACCTATCCCGAATCTGGTCCATCACACAGTATTTCGTATACCAGTGCTTCATTGTCTCCCACTCCGAACGAAACCTTTTCTAATATCGAAGTTCCGTCTGGCCCAACTAATGTACAATCAATTCAGACAACACCGCCTCACCATAATGTGCAATATCCCCATCGTGCTTCAATTCTTACTCCTGTTCCTTTCAGTCAGAATTCAAATAGTATTAACTCAACCAAGTCATCATCTCAATTTAATTTCTCTGATTTTGAAGCTGATACTTCAAGTCCCTTTGATAATATGGAACTGAAGACAATAAATGAAATGGAAGAATTAGCTCATGTTCTTCAACCAATATCAAACTCTCCTGATAGTAAAGAAAATTCTAAGAAAGCAGATGTAGATATATCAAACAGTTTTCCTTCAACTACTTCATCATATAGTGCTAATCAAAATACTGCACATTATAATACAATTGCTGCTAAACCCACTAAAGATAACATGATGCTAACTCATATTAATGGATTGACTGGGTACAGTTCCTATAGTACAACACCTAGAACAAAGGGAAGAGAGGTTAGGGGTGAAAATTACGTAAATGCTGAACATAATGTGTATGATTCTTCAACAAAGGTACCAATGGAACTGACAAACATGTTTGGTTATTATCCTCATCAAACATGGAATTCAAGTGTTAATGTTGGGCGTCCTAGTGTGTATCACACAATGGGGAATAGGGAAACAGAGGCAAATGTCGCATCTAACATTACCTCAGCGGGTGACAGTTTGTCAGATGAGAGAGTAGGTTTTACTGAAGCTGAACCAGGAACTGGTCTGAACTCGACTGTTTCTTTTCCGTCCACTGAACACCAGCATTCCAGTCAAGATGATCAGCCACCATCAGGCCGCACTTTGTCAAAAAGTGTCCCTGATATAGTACAAGAATTAGAGAAGGAGTTGGCAGTGAAACGAGTGGCTGAAAAGAATGCTGTTTCCAATAGAATGAGCCATACCCCTCCCCCACGACCAAACAGCTTTGGATCAACAGGTTTGGAGGTCAGTGTTGTACATATTTCTTATTAAATCTTGATTATTGTGTTTTATGTTGTCCTCTTTTTAATTGGCATTCAGTTGTGTTACTAAAAGAGTTTACTTTATCAAAAATACTAAAAGAGTGTGTCTGGAAAAAGTTACTTGAATGGACTTATTTGCCAATTCTGTTCTTGAGCTTCTGATCTTCTTCTGTTGATGAGATTGAGCTCATTTTGCTTGCTTCATTTTCTTGCATTATAAATATTGAAATACTTTTATTATGACTACATTATTAAGGAAGGAAAAAGAGCAATTATCTTTTCCCATCATTGACTCAAGTGAATTCTTAGGCCGAATTACATTGTAACTAAATTTCTACTTTAAAATGTTGCTGTATTTATTTGATTTTCCAGTGGAAAAAAATAATTTGAAGATAATTTTTATTTAACTTTTACTTCAGCATTTACGATGAGACCTTGCAATTTTTTTAATCTGAAGGGTAGAAGAATTTTAGATAATGACATTTCAATATAAAAAGGTCTGAATTACCATTACCAGACATTGTGAAGGGAGTAAGATTATTATGTAAATGATTAAATGTGAAATTGACAAGGTTATAATAGATGTTTTTTGATTGTTGACGGGTGGATTCTGACATTTAAGATAAGTAAAAATGAAACTTTAATTGATCTTAATAAAACATTGATGCAAAAGGGAAGAATTATACCAAAGTTTTATTAAAGAATGGGCAGAACTTCATGCACCATTTTTATGAAATTCAATTTTTAATTTTGAATAAAATATAAATACCTAAGTTGAATATGTTTTTGTTTCAGAATGGCTTTGTAGTTTGATATGTTGTTTCTTTGGCATGATGTCAATTACATTTGCATGGTTTTCTAATCTTCCTATTAAAAAAGATTTGATTTATGATATAGAGAGATTTGATATAGATTAGCATAAATGTAAAGGCATATTTCCTATGGGTAAACATTTGAATTGGTAGTGTAATTATATCTATCAAATTTAAATAGTGTGCCAGGACATTCTATATTTTTACATTTACAGTAGTTTTTGCACTGGAATTATAACTTTTGCACATATAACTTGATGTATCTCTAAACTAAAAAAAATTAATTGTGAGTACCCATGCAGTAAAAATGTGTAATTAGGGGTACTTTAAAATTATTTATAAAGTAAATTAGGATTTTTTTTTTTGCAATTAATGGCAAATGTATTACTTTGAATGCTGAAAAATAAGTTCAAGAAACTGACTTTGCAGTACTCTAAAATTCTTTAATCCTGTATCTGTATGTAGGATTGGAAACCGTGGCCTGATTTAGATAGCCCTGAACCCACACATTCAAAGCAAAAGAGATCTCCTGCAAAACAAGCTCAGAAAGATAGTGATATGCCAAATCCATTACATGAACTTCCAGTGAAAAGTCAACAACTTGTAAAGCACATCAGTGAAATGGGCTTCGCTCTTCCTCGAGTGGCACGGGCATGCCAGTTGTTTGGTGAAGATGATAAAAAGGTAATTTTTTTCTATATGAAATTAAAAAGTTGTGGGTTATTATGCCATTTTAGCATTGAAAGTTGTTTGATGTGTGGGTAGATAGTGGCTGACATCCTTCCAGAATGCGAGTTTTTTATCCCATTACAACCTTCCATGGCTGTTACCCCATGAAACCATCCTGTGTAGACAGGATGGTATTCAAAGCCCCTTTGTAGTTTAGGCTTTGTGCCCATTCACTTGTATTCTGATGATTTATTCACAGTAGTGTACTTCAGTATCATATTCTTGGTCTCTATCATAATATTCTCAGGAGTCATAGACATGGAGAAGATGTTGAGTGTTCTTGTATTCTCAAGAGACTAGGTGTGCACAGAGGCAGGAAGAGAGGCTGTGGCCGCCACCAAACATTTCAAAAATGCTCAAAAACCTAATGTAATTTTCTTCAGTATTCAGTGACTCATTTTCCCCATCTTTAACCTGACAATTCAGGGAATAATTATATGACATTTGGGAAAGAGTCTCTTCAAGCCATCTGGTAAATATGTAAATGGTTTAACCTAGAAGCAATTGTATTATTTAAGTTGTCATTTCATTTTCCTTGTATGCTCTATTAATTTACTAATATATATAT